CCCCCCACACATAACATAATCCCCTCCCCTTGTTCCCTGCCCCCACAATGTAACATAATACAAGGAAGCCCCCTCACCTGCTTGTCTTTCTGAATGGAGGAGGCGAGCAGGCAGATCTCTGGTGATCTGGTGCGATTAGTAAGGTCTGCAGACATTACTAATCACTCTGTTTCCGACCCGGAGCTCAGTGAAGAGCTCCGGCCGAAAGGAAGGGAGACAGACCAGCAGAAGCAGCTGCTCCCACGAGTCAGGTACGCGATCTGCGACCGCAAGCCTGACAGGAATTTCCACTCGCCTGCACTGCATTTCCACTCGCCAAATGCGAGCAGGCGAGTGGAAATTTTGAGCCCTGTCCTAGACCACTATGGAGAGACTAGGATGAGTCTGTAATCCGACTGGCTTAACTTCTGGACCACTCGACGGAGAAGAGAAAAAGGGGGGAAAGGCATACAGCAGAGAAAAACCCAGGTCTGAGACCAGGCATCTACTCCCCTGAAATCCCTTTTTTTATCGTAAGAGAAAAGGTGGAAACCTTCCTGTTTGTTGTAGCAAAAATGTCTATTTCCCGCAGTCACCATCTGCTGACTATCTGAGCAAATGGCTCCAAATTAAGTTACCATTCCCCCTGATGAATAGGTCTGTGACTCAGGAAATCTGCTACTACATTGGAAACCCCTTTTTATGAGGACATTTGCTTCCACCAAAATAAGAATCTGCTGCTGAAAGATGATTTTAGATATGCTACTGTCGCAGCATTGTCTGAGTACCTGAACCTCTCAACCTTTCAGAGCATGTTGAAATGCTATCCATGCCTCTTTTACAGCCAACATATCCCTCAATTTTGAAAAGACCTCCACCAACTCCTGTGCTCACATCTGTGGTGATCTTGACCCTGAAGCCTGCTCTCTGACGGTCTTTGCGAGTCCAGCCACCACAAACGAGAAATTCTCTAATTTGTTTGTGACGTGCACCTTGCGATCCAGTGACTGACAATCCCATTGTGACAAAAGGAACATCTGAAGAGGCCTGGAGTGTAACTGTGCCCACATTAAGGCTGGAATAGATGAAGTCCTGACCCCCAAGACTCTTTGTTTCTATTAGAAATCTGCTGACAAAACCTTTTTAAACAAGTCTCGGAATCCTTAAAATCTTGTCTTCTGGAAGAAGAAACTTAAGTGACTGAATCTGATGACTTAAAAAAAATGTGGACTAGGCTGGGATCAAAGAGGATTCTAGATTCAGAAGCCACCCAAGGGTCTCCAGTGTTTTGACCTGCTGCAGGTTCTACAATACCTCCACTTCTGTAGGAGCGAAAAGAAGAATATTGTCCAGATAAGGAACTACCAAAATTTTCTGAAGGTGTAGATAAGCCATCACCTCTAGCAGGACCTTCATGAAAATCCTTGTAGATACTACGAGACCAAATGGCAAGGTTCTGAACTGAGAATGAAGAACTCCCAGTTCCATCTGGATAGCACACCTTTAAATGCTCCAATAGAATAGGGATGTGGAGATACGCATCCCTCAAGTCCAGGGTGACCAACACATTCTTTTGGAGGATTTTGTGAATCGAATAAATACTTTCCATCCTGAATTTTGTTTTCTCCGCCAAGAACCTGTTCAATTTCTTTTAGGTTCAAAATTATTCTGAACTTACCGACTTGATTTTTTGGCACCAGAACAATGTGAGACTAAAAGAGCTGTACCTTGGGTACAGGAGCAGTCACTTTCTGGGAAGCCAGGTTTTTGATGCAATCCATGAATGCAACTGCTTTTTGTTAAATCCTTTGGAAATGACATCAAGAAAGGGAAGGCCTTCCCCTTACCTCTAACCAGGTGTCATTTGGAGGAAACAGGAGCAGCAAAGAGTAAACCTCCCTTAACCTTGTTAAATGGCCAACTCTTCCTTTGCACCTGGCCTTTTACTTCCTGGTTTGTTTGTTTTTTCTGATCCAGTGAGTCTCAAAAAAACCCAAAAAACTTTTTTCACCAAATGGCCCTCCTGGCTGAATTAAAAGAGATGCTGACCTAGCAGAGGCTCTAAATGACTCAGCCGCAGTGTCTGCTAAATAAGAAACAGCCTTAACAATCACAAATATTCCAATACCTGTTCCGTAGGAGCCCCTTGGGACAAATGTTGAGAAATTCTTTCCAACCAAAAATCCATATTTCTAGCAACACAAGTAGCTGCCAAATCAGGAGTCATGGAGGAGAAATCGGCCTCCCCTGCTTTGCGTAACAAAGCCCCAGTGTGGTCGATCTGATCCTTCAGAGTACCTGACTCTTTAAAGGAGAGTTCTGCTTTCTTAGAAAACGGAGATAAAGCGGCATCAAAGTTAGGGCACTTAAATAAATGTTTTTAATTCTCCCTTACCAAAAGGGAGCCTCCTTTTCCAAGACCTAAAGACCAACAATTTATTTTATAGTTCCTTCCATTCCCCTTGTACCAAATCCTTAAGGGACTGGTTAGTTGGAAAAGAAAAACTCCCTTGACTCATGTAGACCCATACAAACTCTTTCTTAGACAGATGTGAGTCCAGGAGGATCTGAGATTCTGTTCTGTAACATACAGGTGAAACTTCATATATTTGTTTCACCTTTTAAGTTGGATTAGTGAAATAAATGAACTTATATATTAACTTAATAAATTGCA